AATATCCCGATAATGGCGCTCGATAGAATGAGATATTGTTATCCCGATTTCTTACGCCTCGTAACTCGTCTCTTTATAATGGCCTATCGTGGCCCCGTGTTGCGCGCCGTCTTTCTATCGCCGTCCGGTATTCTCAATTTCGTTTGTCCTTAGGCGATCACACCGAGAACGAAGATCGTTACACACGCACGACTATTATCGGAGACTGCTGTTAGAAAACAAAAAAAGTAGCCAGATCGGGACCGTTATTCGTATCGATGTTTAATCGTTCTCCCGACGATTTTGAGCGCTATTACACTAATGATTCTCGCAGGAACGCGATCCCGATTACGAGACTCGTCGCGATGATTATTCCCGCAATAATTGGTGTATTACACGCCGCAGGTACGCGCGTCTCTCTGTATAAAATATTACGGATTACATTTAGTTTACTCAATTTCCGCTTTTCGCGCTGCCTTTCTAAATTTCTACTGGACTTTTTCTACGCTTAATCGGCCATACCGAAAGGCGGTCGCGCGCTGGAAAGGTAGTAATCAGTTGGTTAGCAGGCGATCTTCCCGCTGGTATCCACGCCGGCAAAATGTTGCTGCGCCCTATCGAGTAGTACGTAATTGTGCAATAAATTGTTGCTTAATTGAGCGCCATGCCGTCGCTGATTTACATCGTGCTTTCACTTCTTTCATAAATCGCTCGACATACGTTAGTATCAGCCAGCTGTAGGAAAGCCGGCGCGGCGGGATGTTGCTCGATTTTCCGCGGTGTCAAACGAGGAGAACCACCAGCGTGGAATCTCAAAAATTCGTAAACCGGCTCGACACTGTCTCGCTCGCCCCGCTCTCTCCCGCCTCGCAGGGCGCGTCCACTTCTCGACCGCGTAAAAGTCGCGCGCGTAGCTTCCTCCTCGCTTCTGGATTCCGCGCGTCCGACGTATCGATTAAAGGATTTCTATTCCCAGTTTAATCTCACGCCAGGGGCCGTCGCGAGGGGCCAATTACTTGCGCTTGACTGTCGCGACCGGCGACCATGAGAATCGCTATCCAGCGTCGTTATCCTCGGGACTGTAAAAACGGTCCGAGTTTCCGATCGAGCACTCTCGGAGAGTCACTTCGTCATGCGGCGCGTCCCGAGCCACGACGTTGCAAACGACGGGCATTTCGCGATCGCCCCGTCTCTCGTCGTGCCGCAACCTCTCGTCGTTCATAAACAATACACGAGAGCGAATCTCCTTGAAGATCGGCAATAAGTAACAGCCGTGACGGGTGAGGCCGAGCGAACTCAGTGAGCAACATTCTTAAAGGGGTCAACACCGTGTCACGGGAAGAAAGAGTCTTGCGACTCGCGTCCGCAGCGAATGTACACGGCGATGCTGTTCGTATATTCGCTGACGCGGGCCCGGAACTTCGAAAGCGGCGAGCCGGGATATCCGTCGCGACGACTTAGCAACTTTGATCCTCGTTACGCGGGTGGCGGCAGCAAACAATAGCCGCTGCAGCGTATCCGCACGGATCGAGTTTCGATTCTCATTAGATAGACGTGTCGGAGAAAGGCTCTAGGTTCTCATTCTCTCCGAGGAAAGCTGCATTTTCCCCGAGGAAGATGCTGATCACGGCGTTTTCTGTCGCTCTTTCCGGCCCACGTAATCGTTATTTACATTAGCTTCATTCTCCTTGCTGACGTCGTCAGATTATATTATCACTCGTTGTATACAATTAAATCGCGCTGATCCTGTCGGCATTTTCCGGAGACGCACGTTGTCAGATGTATCCTCATAAAGGAATTTCGCGAATCCAGAAATTCCGATGTTAATGAAACTTTGTATACTTAGATAAAGTAAATGGATAGATTTAAAAATGTTTATTTAGTGCCAAAAGTTGAAGATAAAATCGAATATTTCTAAATTGATTCTATTTATTTCACTTACACGCATGTAAAGTTTTATTAAAATAAAAATTGCCGAATTCGCGAGATTCCTTTGTCAGTCAAGTTAACGAATAACCGACGCTTGCTACATGTAACGTTATTATGGAAATAAGCATAGATTTGAAAAAAAGTTCAGTTTTTTCTTAAATTTCTTCGTACGTGTCTCGTTTTTATTTCTTTCATCGTATAATAATACTTACGTCGTATGACGCCTCTTTGCGTTTTCCGAGATACCGCACGGATTGGCGGAGCAGCGGCTTGTCTTCGAAATCATACGTTTCACGTCTCTCGCCCGAGGCGGCCGACGTTTCGTGAATGAAACGGCCACTTTTCGGCGTTTAACGACCCCACCGTAAGTAAGGAGACGTCGATCCGGCCGGATATCATTCGGTGCCAGCACGTGTTCCGGCACGAATTGCTCGTCTCGCTCGCGTTTACGATCGAGTCTCTGCCAACTCTCGGGTAGTGTCTGCTAGAAAATAAGCACGGTGTCTGGTAGAAAATAATTAGAAGCGCATAAACGAGTCTCGCGTGTTCCGACCGCTTGTCGTGCGAAACACCCGGCGCGGTTGTAATCGTAATTCCAGATGCAGATACGCTACACGTTGGATCTCAAAATTTATTTCGTTCGGAAACCGTCCGCGAAAAAATAGAGCGGTACAACGTGATCGTCGGTGTAGCGAAATGAGGAATATTGAGATGCATACATTCGAGCATGATTTATTCGATTGCTTGTCGCGTTTATTTTGTCGCGGTACACGCTCCTCTTTGTATCGATCGCTTATACGATGACGTATTATGACGAAAAAGAAATTAGCAAAAGGAACGTAGTCGTAGCGGTTGAGATGTCCCTTTCAAATCTCGAGATGGCTAGTATCGTTGCTACCGATATTCATCTATCAATTATTTGCATTTGGGCGGTATAACGAAAAATATACGCTGCCAGAAACCAATAAAGTTTTAGTGCACGTAATCGATAAGATATTTAGAAATGCTCACTGCTTCCTCAGCCATTCGCACTAACGCGCATTTTAATTTCACTTAATAAACTTCTATCTTCAGTGAATACATTTCATCTGTAATAGCCAACTCTTAGCCAATGACAGTGAAACAGTCTTGGCCTTTTAACAGTCGAGTTCGAGTCAGCTGCTGAGATTTAGTCGGTAGAACTAAGTTTCTTTACACTATAAACCGTCATAAATATTGTCCTTTTTTCGGATAATAATCGTCCGTACATAATTTTAGCGAATAAATAAAATGAACAGAGATGCGAGAGAAGCAAGCGAGAATTCGTCGATCACACCGGTGAACTCGTCACTTCGTGACGTCACGAATACCGAGACGATCGTTCGCGATGCGCGATGACGTAACGTTCCTCAGACGACCCGTTCCCAGCTATCCAGATTTCCGACGGAAATACAAGGCGTTCCTCGGGGCAGATTCGGGTATGGTCACGCGGGTGGCAACGCCGGGCGTCCTTTATGGAGTATTTGATTACGTTGACGAGGTTGCCGCTGGTTGAATGAGATACGGTGGTGGGGCGATAATACGGCAGTTAGTATGCAGCGGGTACTGTTACTTAATGTTAATGCCGAGGGGAGGGCCCCCATTGATCCCTTCCGCGCTTCGGCAACAGAGGAACAACGGATTCCGGACACCGAGCCGAGAAAGAGCGCCCTTCTCCCTTCCCTCACCTTCTCGCAACAGACGCAACGTGGTGGTGCACGAAGAAGCCGACTCTGGAATGCCGCGCGAGTCTCGATCCGCCGTGTACCGTCCGGATCGCTCCGACCTGTCCGGCATGTACCAGCGGAGTAAGTTGATGGGGAGCAAGAAAGAAAGAGGAGAAGAGGGGAAGGGCTGGTGCGATGCGCGGGAGAACGAGGAGGAGCGCGACTACGGGTAAAGATTCGGGCGAGAGGGAGAGAGAGAGAACGGGAAGGAAGAAATCGCTTTATCGCGTCACCGGAGCCGCGTTCAGCCTCCGACGCGCGGAAAAATCGTGATTTCGCGCGGACGCCGATTACATCGACGCCTCGTAACGGATATGCGTGTCCGCCGCGGCGGGGGGACGCCGGAGATGATAATTAATCTCGGTAGCGCGCGGACGATGTAAGTGGGAACGCGCACCGTAACGTGTGTCGCTGTATTATTAATTAACCGCCTCGGAACCCGCCGGAGGCTAGCCGACGGTGACGCGACGGTAGTCCGTAGGCCGAGATGGCGGGTCGTAGATAAGCGTTTCGCGGTATCACGCGCCTATGTCGCGCGGAAGGATCCGGCGAATCCGAAAGGATCTCGTCACACCCGCCGTTAATCCATTCGAGAGATTCGCTCAGGTATATAAATCGGGCCGATTCCGCAAATGAGGGAACGACAGGCCGCGCTGGCTCAGCCTCTCGACGTGTGACGTCATCGTGCGCATTTCTTTTCGGGCTCTTAATAGCATAGGATAATTCATTCGAGGAAGGTGACGAGCGGACTGAAAGTAAAACGAATGGCTGGACACGGTGGAGCGCGCGACGCGGAGAGGAACGCGGGGGGACTGTCGGAGGGAGGGAGAAACGCCAAGTTCGGTCGTACTCGGGCGGGAGAAATTTTTATGGGACCCCGTGCGCGACCTCTCGACTCGGGAACGGCCGTGGTATTTTTTTTTTTTTAGATTCAACCACGCTCACTCGTAAAACTGCAAGCCGTAATTAAAAGCCCAGCGGTGATCGCGGCATCCCGCGTGTCGTCGGCGTTTCCATTATTGCGCGACCGGGGACGCATCGACGTACGCCGATGGAGTCGCGTCATCGCGATCCCCATTGTGGATATTGCGCGTGGATATTTACGCGTGTTTAATTGCGAAAGTGCGCTACGGGCTTGTCAATCGTGCGGCCATGCGAAAAGCGATACTTCACGTGCGAAATTGACCGCGGTGAGAGCCGACGCGAAATGAAAGCGCGCTTCTCATCGGAGATTCGCGAACAACGTACGATGATAATCGGCGCGATTTACGATTGCGTCACACTCGTCGGAAGAAACGCGGCGTTATCGCGCTCCTCGATCTCACGAGGATGTAATTCATTTTCCAGCGATCGCTCCGAAATAATCGCAACGAGCGCGGGACAACGAGGATCGATGACACACCGGTGGAAACAGCAGGGACGAAAGTAGGAAGATACCGATCGACGGAAGACACGGGGAGACGAGAGGAACGCGCGAGATCGAAGGGACGAGTCCGCGAGCTCGAGCGAAGGGAAAAAGAGTCGAAGAAGGATGGACTACCGAGGAGCCTCGGAGGATGGAACTATGGAAGCAAAAACAGAAACCAGTCTCACTGGCTCAAGGCTGCCTGGCCGAGAGAGTACCTGGCCCGCTGGAGCGCTGGAGCTACCTGGATCGTCCGTGAGTACCTGTCTGCCTTTACCTTCGATTCCTCTCTCGCTCTTTCTCTCTTTCTCCCGTTCCTCCTTCCTTCTCCTCTTCTTCTATCTGTTTCTTCCTCTTCTTCTTCCTCCTCCTCCCCCTCCTCCTCGCGGGTTTGCCCACCTCCGGAGGAGGCCCGCCGCGGCGCTCTTGCTACCACCTTTATCCTTGGCCCGTACCACACCGATACGCGCGGAAAGTCGTTTCACGCAAATTCGCCGAGAACGCCTTCTTCGTGGCGAGCGTCGAGAGCGCGACGCGCCGCTGCCGAACTCGTTCCCCCGTTAAAACCGTGACGCGTCGCCCGACCGGTCGAGGAGGCAACATCGTCCGCGGATATCGTCTTCTTTGATCCCTCGACTTGGCGAAAGAACGGGCCCGGGTAGAGAGACCCGTTCGATTCTTTCCGCGTAATTATACGCGCTCCCAGACCCGACCCGACGCGCCAGGCTGAGTCGAGGGTCACGACGACCGTTCCGCTGCCGAGGTGGTCCGACCGTTGGTCCCCCGTTTCGGTCGATAGTTCGAGGATCCGCTCGGGGATTAATTAAGGACGTGATAAAGCCGAGGAACGATCTTCGGCCTGTGATCCGCGCGGCTCGAACGTGCATCCATCGGGAGAGCGGAGTCGAGAATCGATCTCGGGTCGGAGTACGAATTTCATTAGGAGCGATCGCGCCACAAATGAAGTAGATGAAGATCTGACACGCGGTTATCGATTCAACGTGAGTTCTTTACTTATCGTGAAAGCGAGTTGAAGTTCGCCAGGCGAAACGCCATACATACTGCAGATTTATTATTATCGTCGTGACAATCGACGGGGTGGCTGAATATAAACCGTAAATATTTAAACGATAAACATCAAGGCACCCGCACGCCGCGCTCTCGTGGTAGCGATGACACGGTGGATCTCCGCGTATCGATTTCAAACACGTGAGAGAACAGCGCTAACAGTTCATTATCAGATTTGCCGGTGGCTTATCGGAGTGTGCATGACGGCTTGCGTTGCGTAGAGCCGGTGTGCAATAACAGATCGCGATAGTTTCGACGTGATCGCGATAGAGCCGTGCATAAATGGCTGCGGGAGCAAAAGCGTGCGAAGTGCGCGGAGGAGAATATCGGCCAGTCACCACTTGTACAATACTTATACAAGGTGATCGTCTTTCACAAGGAGAGGCGGTATCGTGAGCCGTGTGGGTATTGACTAATTTCTACCGATGTCGACACAAAAAGACAGCATTAAGCGTAAACGTTGTTATCCTTTACGAGGTTAAGGTCAAGAGCAACGTGTATATATATTCGAAGTAACGTAAAATACAAAAAAAATGATTTTCACCGCTTTATAACCGGTTTTTTAATTAAGTCGTTACTTGTTAATCGTTAATCGTTTATTAAGATTGTCATTTTAATAAGCTTATTCCTCTGTAAAAAAAGGAAGGAGAGAAAGAGTGAGAGAGAGAGAGAGAGGGAGAGACAAAGTTTCATCGTCCAGTCAACGCACGTTGACTTCGGCCAACTCGGGCAGGTCGTTAACACTTCTGCGACAACACGACGGTACTCTGTCACCGTCCCTCTGCCATTGCGTCGTCGTACTTGAACCGATCACCCAGTATAACAAGTACGACGTAGAAACACGACGCGAAGAGAGGCACCACGGTGATCGAAGCAGCCAGTCGGCCGGCCAGTCGCCAGTCGCGTTGTAATCGCAGAATAATTGAATCCGCGCTCGCTACGCGCACTACGTGCGCTCATTCCATCTTCTTCCCGTCTTCCCCTCTCGGTCTTCTCGGTGCTGCGTCTCACTCATTCACTCTATCTCTCTCTTTCTGCCTTCCTCTCTCTCTCTCTCTCTCTTTCCCCGTCCTTTTCTTCACTCACCACCACACATTTCTCTCTCTCTCTCTCTTTCTCTGACTTTTCCTCCTCTCGCCCGCCCGCCCACCCCCTTTTTCCTCCTTTCATTTCTCTCCGTCCCGGTCCTTTATTTATAAGCGCCTCCAGCTACCGGCATAAATGCGCCGAGGACTGCATTCATAAACCCGCTCCCGAGCTGCTGCCGGCGGCTTTCCTAGCCTCGCCGCCGTCGTTGCCGGCGCTGGCGCTGCCGCCACCGATGCAACCGACGACCCCGTTTACATTGGCTCCGGTGCGGGGAGGCCCCGGGGCACGCTACCTCGCTTACTCCAACTGAAACGATCCCCTTTTTATCCACCCTATCCTTGCACCCGCGCCTCTTAGTTCCCCGATCCGCGCCCTCGCTCGCTCGCTCTCTCTTTCTCTCTCTCGGTCCTTCCTACCTCCGGCGAAGCGCTCGGAAGATTAATGTACCTCCAGGGCACCAACGTCCCTGTCGCTTCCGGACCCTACAACCCCGTAACGCACGTTCCGGATGCGATCTCTTTCTGTTTTTATTTTTTCCCTTTTTTTTTGCGATGTCCACGGTTTTCCGGTATCAAGTTCTGTTAACCCTCGCAAGGAAAGGTGGAGTAACAGGACCTGGTGGGGTAAAAGGAAAGATGGAGTAATGAGTGACTCAAATATGTGAATAACATTATTGTTTGTTTAAAATAAGGAAAGGGCACAGAAATCATATGGGCAAGTATATATTTTTCAGAGATATTATAATGATATAATCAACAAACGCCTCTTGTGCTGAATGATATCTATTTTTTCTCGCGAGGGTTAACGAATCGACGACGACGTTCACGTTGAAAATCGCGCATCTCGCAAACGCGGCACCGTGCTCATTCACAAGCCAGCCTTTCAATGCGTTCTACAATGTGACAGAGCGATGCGACCTCGTTAGATTTCGTTTCCGTTTCCCAGGGATTTACAGCGGAGGACGCTGGCATTCGCGCGCGGCAACCTTTGCCAGAAATCGCACCTCGTCGGACTGTTGCGAGAAAACGGAAACATTTATCGAGCAATGGTGTTCGATCCAGATTATTATCCAGGCGGATCAAAGCGGTCGGCTTTCTCGTTCCGGAAATCGTAATAGTTTTCGGAGTTCTCGAGGCTGAAGTCGCCGCGGGACATATATTTTTATTGAGCGCTCGATCGTTCTGCTCCGAGTGATCCGTAATAACGACTACTAATCGGCGACCGTTATCGGCGATAACGGGTCGAGTTCTGTAGCTGCCGCTAAAGCCGAAGCCGCCGATATCGCATCGCGCACGTCACACCGTTACACCGTTTTATCATGGCCCGGTGACAGCGAGAACCTGCCGTTCTCGCGATAAGTCGTCCATGCGAGACGCGCCGTTTGCAACGCGACGAAGCGCATTCGCGACGGGTTGTTCCATCGGTCGCGACGCGATGATTATTGCGAAGCCCCAAGGAGCCCACCGATGCATCATTCTCGGCGGGGCGATGATGCGGTCGCTTCTCGCGCGTCCAGCGCGAGAAGGTGGCGATTTAATGCGCCCGGCGAGAGCAGAAGTTAAAGCCGCGTAAAGAGAGAATAGAGTACGGGGTATCCTTGAGCGCGAGAAGGCTATTCCCTGGCCTTGGATATGCCCCGTGCGTTATACACGTCGGAGTGTGGAAACACCACGGCTCGTTATTTTCCCGGGCTGAGATACGGCCGGCGCGCCGTTGTGTAATGAAACGCGGTTACCCGCTTGAAATCTGTTAAGCCGCGCGTATTTGCTTCTAACTTTATTGACTCTGCCGGACGACGACGACGGGAATCGTCCGGCCGAGACGGCGTATCGACGGTTCCATTAGAGGCGGTCGCAATGTAAATTTACGCGACCGCCAACTGGGGCTCGAAAAATACGCGTAATACCGGGCGTACCTGTTTCAATCAGAGCTTCCAGTCCTTTTCCGTTAAACAGGGGCGGGTATGCGCATGGAAACCGGCAAACCGTGAACTTCAGTGACATTCAGTTGTCATGCAGCTATCGGTGCGCAATCGTTTAGCTCGGGAATGAAATCCACGATCTTTTGAAATCGTGTATATATCTATCTCAATTTCTTCGAGTGACGTTTCAAAATTCTCGGAGCGACAGCGAAAATACCGTTTCACTTGGAATCATAAGAGTGAATATTTCAATCGATCAAATTTGTCCCCATGATGGAGTAAGTCGGATTCGCTCTTCGATTTTGGATGAAAATTTCACTCGATCTCGGAAGTGTATTTGGAAGATTCACTCGAAACGAGTAGAAAATTATTTGAAGTGAAGTGACTCAGCTGTCACTGTATTTTTCGGCTTGAAATTTCGCGCGAAGATACAGAGAAAGTACGACGGGGAATTCCGCATGTAATTTCCTTCAACGTCTCAATCGGGATCGAAAATTATCAACTCTCGAGAGTGACCGTGTCCGTACCTGCCGTTAACCATCTCACCAGGTTTATCCCGACAAGTTGGCGGCGGATTATTAGCCGATTGAACGGTCGAGGAAAAAGGAAAGCCGGCGGGAACGGAATCCTGATGGCTTTGAGTCATCCGACGATGCGGACGTCATCGATTTCCCGCGCCAGCCGAGTGTCCTGGGAGATCGCGCGCGCGCGCGCGCGCGAGCTCCTCGCGTATCCTTGGGCCGTAAGAACAGGATCCCGGGCACGCGGATGTGCAACATTCTGCGCGTCTTATTCCCGCGTGCGCGTCGATTAAGATCAGCGGATTCCTGACGCGGCGCGATCTCCGCCTCCCGTTCGTTCTTTTTCTCGCGAACTCGCGTCATTAAGCCGGATGTCGAGTTCAGATGTGGCGACGACGACGGCGGACGATCGCGCTACCCGGTTACTCGGTGCGATCGCGAATAAATACTAACGTGGCGTTACGGCCGCGCGAATAGACGGGCGGACCCTCGGGACTCGATCGGCTGTATCGAAACGTGTCTAACGCGGAATGTCGCGTCGTTGTCGTCGTCGTTTCTATCACGTCTAATTAGAACGGCCGGCTTTTCATCCTCCTCCTCGTATATCGGAGCAACGAGTAGGCTAGAAAATTCAGCCCGATAAGAGAAGAGCGAGC